GGAATGTCGTGTTAAACGCTCATTGGCACTACCACATCTTTTACGGTAGCCTGTCAAAAGTGTTTGCTTTCCAGCAATGGGTAGTACTGCTGGATCTACAGACGTGTGCCGGAGACGGAGCGTCCACTGTTCGAGACGTGTGCCCATATCCTAATTCGTTCCACATTGATGTGTGGGTGCCAAAAGAAGGATCTGCTCGGGACAGTTCCAGCAGACCTGAACTGGAGAAACTTCGGTAAGCTGTTCTCTCAGCTCAAAATGCCCATAGCGGCTGGTTTTTCTTTCAACGATGGACTTTTGCAGGGTAATGTTGGCAGCTGACACCAGTGCTCATTTGGACAGTTGGTTGGAAGTGATCAACCAAACGGCACGCCATGTACTTTTGTGGGACAGACCAAATGGAATGCCGAAGTAGTTTTCGATGTTCATCATCAATCCGAAGAGCCTAATAATTGTACATCCTTCTCATAAGTGTAGAACTATTGAGGTCGTCATCGCTGTTACTATCGCCATGTTTATTATTTGGTCTCCAGAATGCCACTTGAGAAAATCTCCAGAAAGTTGATCTGTAAAGTTATACAGTATTCCGTTATTTCTTAGCGCTGGGCTTCTGCTTGAGTCAGAGAAGCAGGGTATTGTCTGCTTGTCTGCGTACTTATAAGAAAAACAGGAGGGTCCCAGGACATTCGTTGTCATAGTCTCTAACTTTCTTTTCTGAAACCTCGACATTGTTGTTAATCTGAGACCTTTTCTTCTGCGCCCGAAGTGGTTTGGTGGAAATGTCTATGGAAAGCCTAACGCTTCAACAAGATCGTCATGTTCAGATGCCAAAACGTGGTTCAAAGTTCGGCAGTTGTTCTCCAGATTGTCAAACTCCTCTTTTCCTCGAGCATTTCCGGAAAAACATTAGGGAGAACGAGTGAAAGTCCAAATGGGGGTGAGACTTACACGTCATCTCCGCATGAGCGAGAAGCCGCTGTGTTGGTCGTGGTTGAAGGCAGTGGACACGATGGTTGGGGGCGAGCGGTTGATGCCAGCTTCACTGGTGGAGCTTGGGTGTGGCCAACGCCCCTTGCAGCCCTTCCACCAATGACGCTGGCAACAACCGCCCGCCTCCAGCCAGCGTGCCCACTGCATTTGAGCGTCATTTCGTTCTGCTGTGGTGTACTGGGTAAGTCTAAGCTTTCATTTAGGTTTCCGCTCGTTCTCCCCTAACGTTTACCCGGAAAAGTTAGAGGGAAAGAGGTTTTTTGAAGAAAACATCCAAATCTTGGCCCACGTTTAAGCATCTGAGGACGACTATCTACTTGAAGTATTAGACCTTCACTAGACAGCTCCACCTAACCATTCGGTTGCGACAAAAGAAAGACATCAAAAAATCACTTTTTTGTTTTGTTTTTCCTGTAGAATTATTGCATTGACATTTACCTACCCCTCATATACTCTCCGGTTGCTTTGCAGCTCAAAGTGTTTCTTCTGTAAATTCCCCTTCATGCCGCTATTTCTTTTTTGAACTCAAGCGAATTGATGTGATAATATCCAATGATTATCAACCTGCCATTATCTATGATGTCATGGATAGAAACATTACCATTTATGATGTATGGTCCCCCCCCCCACTCCTATCTGTACGTTTACTACTAACTACGACATATTTCTTTGTATAGGCATGTCACTATAATAGAAAAGTTTTAAATGTGTGATAAACTTTTTTAAAAAGAGTTGTTCGAGTTGTACATGAAACGTTCATTACGCGTAGATAAGGTATTTGGGGTCCTATTCGGAGCAATTGTATCTCTAGTGGGAGGGATCGCCTGTGATCAGAGCAGTCTTCGAGGTAGAGAATCATTGGACTATCAAATTGATCCGGAAATTCTCAGTTAATGGCGTTGCGTTTTCATTTTACTTTTTAGTATAAATGGTGCAGTTCGGCTTGGTGGGGGTGTTTTCCTGGTTCTCATCGGTCACGCCCATGCCTCTCGTGGAGACCTGTGAATCGTGTGAAGCTATGCAGTAGTTGAAGCATCGTTTACACTCGGCCAGAGTCTCCAAGGTGTAACGGGTAAATTAACAGGAACTAGAGGAAGTGCAAAATGCCCCTCCTAAGCCGAACAGCAGAAGTATAAATACTTCGGAGTTTTGGGATCAAGTCTTGGTGGCATCGCCGGTGACATACACTTGTGATCTACCGAAACTGTTCAAGTGCGACGTTTTCCCCCACCCCCGCCTCTTCCCCTCCAGCTCGACAGTTTGGGGAGGGAAGGGGAAAAGAAATTTCCATGAAACCGCCGACAAGTGGTAGCAGGGTGGAATATTTTCGAAGAGTATAGGTACGATGACGGGTGAGGTGTTTTTCAGGAGGATAAGCTCCGAAGGGGAAGGGGGGGGGTGTGGTGTTTCGCGGATATTTTCTCTAGCTTCAAGACTAGCTCTCAGCACCTTCTTACGAGCTCGCTCACCACAAGTGAGCCCTGTTGTGCCGATGAATGATATGTTTAACTCTTTCTGTGTTCAGATGTCTACAGTGAAGCAGCGGTACGACGCTGTCCGACCGCGAGAGCGTGTGACGTTCGGCGGATTCCAATTTGTGGTTCCTTCACCGGACTTCCAAATGCCAAAGTTCCGATGCTGCAATGGTGCTCATGAAGGAGTCACAGAACCCGACCATGAGACCGATAGCTTTGATCTCAGCGAATGTGTCAAGGAGGTACATTACTAGTACACTTGGCTCATTGTAACTTAGATAGAAAGTCATCATTGCAAAGGATAAGCCGTGAGCAAGCTTGGCATGTCTCGAGGGTATCAAGCTAGTGCTCAGCAATGATGGGGCAGAAGACGAAGATGGTTGGTGTCGTTAAAAAGTTCTTTTTTTCAGGTCAAATGTATAGCTAATTCTACCCCAACCGCAAATCAAGCACCGGCGGCGCCAAGTTTATCAAGAACAGTCTGCGTGCCATCTATCAGTGGAATCTCGACGGTATCCGAAGAAAGCACCATCCACAGCCTCTGTGGCGAAGTGTGCCAGCGTGACAACGCCTCCTTGCGTGGTTCCTATTCCGCCGAAGTCATCCTCACTCTCAGAAGCAGCAGTCAATGCAAAAAATGTATTTCTCGTAAAACTCCCTCTTTGTCCTGCCTTTGTTGTCGAAAATATGCCATCTTCCATGTAACTCCTTTCAGGCACCTGATTACTGTAAGTTGGGTCAGTCAGATCAGTTTCAAAGAGAGCGCCCTGTGGAAAGATCGCCATTTGTCGCTCAACAGAAATCTTTGAATACTGTAGCAAGTGAGTATTTCACTTTGAGATGCATCTACCTACTTCGCGACTGGGAGCGCATCTGTCGCGATGAGAGTTGCGCGACTGCAAGCAACCACACCTCACTGGCGATTGTTGGGACAGTTGCAACTGGTCGCAATCAGAAAAGAACTTCTTGCCGATGTTGCGGCAGTCCTACGATAAACGATGGAGTGTAGGCAGTTGTAATCGCGAAGGCGAATGAATAGCTCGGGTCGCGAAGTGTGAACGCGATCCAGGTACAAGCTTCATGGTTGCCAACATTGTACAGTGAAACATTAGAAAGACAATCTTAGGTGCAGTTCCCAATGACGTCATAATCGAAAGCGACGACGAAATTCTATTTCAAGACGAGCCTTCCGATGAAGGTATCGCAGCTGATGAAGGAATAGGCTACCGTGTGAGCAGTGGCGTCCCTTTTACTTTTTTTGTTAACACAATGAAATCGATGTACATTGGAATTGATCAATGGAACTCTGCGAAAGGAATGAGCACATGCCTGGGGGCGGGCGGTTGCTGCAACGCCATTGGTGGAAGGGCGGAGTGGGTTGTAGCCAAACGCCTTCTCGTAACCCTTCTACCAATGAAATTGGCAGCAATGGAAGCAATCGCACGCTCCCAGCCATCGTGTCTACTGCCTTTGAAGGCACGTTGTCTCTCCTTCTTTCTATCATATGAAATATTAAAAAAATCAGTGGGCGGACTGGTTCAAATGACCCGCTCATGAGATTACCCTGAAATGTGCCTTTAATGATGCTGAATTTCAGGGCTACGACTCATTCGATGACATCGAATATCTGGATACAGTAACCGTGCCGGCAGCAGAAGTCCGCCACTATGAGTCGGATGATTCGTTCAACGACGACGTAGGATGTTATTTAGAAACTTTCCCTCTTCAATCCTGTTCATGCAGACAGCCCAGCTGGATAATAACGGAGTTGTAGCAGTATATCCATGGTTTTTCCGCATCAAAGTATCCCACTAGCTGCGGCACAATCGCCTAAGGTGGGCGCCGCGACCAGCGATTCTATTCAGCTGGTAAGGTCATATCGCTCACGCCGCGGGATGAACCGTGCAACAAATGGCATGGCGCTTTGTGAGGCATCTCACCGTTTCGGATCGCACCATCACTCATAGTGTCGCGTGGAGCTCACTCCGGCACGCCGCGGTTTGCCAGACGAGGCGAAGTGGCATTTGCACCTTAAAGCCGCGTTTGCACTTTGCATTACTGGACACTAGGAGAGCAGGAGAATCTGAGAAAAGGGGAATAGGTCATAGGAAAGTATAATTATCGACATGAAACACCGGGGACAGGAAAGGATGGGAATTAGGAAAATTTGTAAAGAAGTAGGTGGGAATCAATCGCCTCTGGCGCTGGCGACTTGGACTTGACCAAATCATAAAATGAGTGAGCAGGAATAGATCGACCTATAACTGGGCATAGTGTGCTCTTTGCGAGAGCGAGACGGAGGAGACGTTGCAAGCGGGGTGATATGCGCAGCGTTCGCACCAGGACCCAATCTGCTCAACGTGGCAGGCTGGCGAATCATTCTGTGTCTGTGTCTCAATTAGCTGGGAGGACGTGCGATGCGCGACTAGGTACTTACGCTGTGCACCCTCTCCCATCCAGTCGTATGACGCGCATCCTGCCGATTCGTGCCCTCTCCTACTCTCCGAATCTTTTGTTATCGTATTTTCCGATGACGCGGTCTGACTAGTGCGCGGCCAAACACCTATCATTCAGACATATATAAGTCAGTCCCTGCGCAACTGCGTTTTTTTCTGAACTCGAGGGAGAAAGCGTTATCATTGATGTAAAGGGGCTCATGGCGTTAGACCTGTGTGAGCTGGTTTCGAAGGAACTGCTTGAGTGACCAGTATTGAAACTGGCCGGAGCTGTATTTCGAGTCCTTAGAATTTCACTCTTTTGGGTGTCCTTCCTACAAAGTCTCGCAAGGTACCTCTTTCAGGTGATACTGACGCAATCACAGCCAGCCGATCCAGATGGGAAGCGACACGGTAATAAAACAGTCTACGCTGACTGTGTGGGCGGAGCCAGGTCTACCATTGTGACTTCCTTGCTAGTGCACTCCTCTTCTTTACGGCCAGAAGAACAGGTCATATGAGGCAAGCACACTGGTACACCTGACCCTTCCAGCACTGTCACTACTGGGGTTTTTTTTTTTTGCGTTGGGCGGCCTTTGAGCAACTAACACTACGTTCAGCAGTTTCGGATTTCATGACTTCCTGCTTGTTTTATCGAACCAGATTCAATAAGTGTCGAGGTCATTGGGCTACTACGAAGCCTATTAAGACGCAATAAATAATGCAGTTGAATCGAAAATTCTGAACGCTTGCTGATTGGTGCAGTTCGGCTTAGTGGGGGCACCGAATGGTGCTCAGCCAAGTTGGTAGAGACCTCGTAAAGACCTATGAATCCGTGTGATCATACTCCCCTCTTCTTGCCATTTCACAGCTTTACAGTAATTAACAGGTCTGCTATGAAAATAAAGCCAACAAAAGGGACCAGCGAAGGTACAAGATGCCCCTCCGAGCTGAACAGCACCGCCTGTTGTCTCAACCTTGCGATCTGTTCTAGTCTTGTTTTGAGCATCTGTTTATTTATTAGATATGCACGGGCAGTTCCGCGGGTTTCTGAAAGACGACGGGGACGAGTTTGAAGACGAAGGTTCGTTATTTAATTCCGAGTGGGTGATCTATCTGGGCGAGTCTTTGGTTGCCTAGTCTCTCACACAGGTTCATTTTGGTCCATATTTAGTCGCAGCATTGGGCGAGCCGCTCCGTGACGTGATATACAAGACGCTAAAGGAAAAGTTCGGATTCAATTCGTTTCGACATCGACAAAAAACCGCAATCACAGCCATTATGCTTGGACACGATGCTTTTGTGCTTATGCCTACTGGTAAGGCTTACTGGCGTTATTCGGAAGAAATGTTGCTTAGCCCGAGCCACTAAAGTCCTTACCATTTCGCGACCTTGTAGTGACTGAAGTTACATTCTGCCACTTGCAAATGGTAAGTGGGGTCCAAATATTAATTTGTAGATGCTAAGCTGCCCAACATTGAAGTGAAAGGATACCAAACGACCTTACTGAGACCCTGGACTGCGAGCAAGAAACGAGAGAGATACTGTGAGCGTATGAGAGAGGCTAAGGGAGCAGGAGGCGAGAGAGTACAAGGGCAAGCGAGATGACAGACGCATTTCGCTAACTTGACACCGTTCATCTCTGGGCGGGGCCGCCTACTGGTGGGTGGCGCGAGTCCGGCGAATGGTGGTCTCAGCGACCTTGTCACTCATTCGCGAACCGTGAAGCCGGACATTCGGGGCAGGGCACGCCATTGCGTTGTGATCATTTCCTGAAAAATACGACCCCCTAATTCCATCTTCAAGTACGACCCCCTCCCCACGTTACCCTCTTCCCTAGATTTTTCCAACCTCCTACCACTTTGTCTATTTTTTCCCAAAAAGTTTCTAGTTTTTTTACAAAATTTGTTGCTGTCGGAGCGGGGGGGGTCGCAGTAGTACCTACGTACGTCCCAAGCACGTCCAGCACTCTGGCGCTGGTGTAGCATACTGACAATACGTACGAGGAAGGGGCGATGATAGGAGCTACGATCACCGCCCACAAGGGCCCCATGAATTTATAAACAAACAAGAGGACTCACGACGTGACGATTAATAAACAGATGAAAGTACATTCCGGCTTTTGTGATGCGTAGCAGCCACATTTCTTGGCAAATGGGCAGCCCCTACTAGAAGTTACACCTATTCAAACACCGGTGGCGTGAAAGCCCATTGCACTGGCGCATTGCATTACTGTGATAGGCCAATTGGCGCTAATGGCCTATTACCTGATATGCTTGACGAAAACATGTGTTTCAGAAGCATACCAAAGTCTTCGAGCCAACTGGAGGTTTCCTGGCCTCGGAGGGGTTGATTTTTCGGTGTCGTGGGGGGTGATTACAAAATGATCACAACGGGGAATTTTTTCGAATAGTAGGTCTAGGAAGGAAATTAAAAACCTTGCTGGAAAGTAGAAATCTTCAAGCTTCCGGCACAGTTTCTTTTTTTACGAAAGGTCGTGTATGAAGCTTGCCATGGACGTCCAAAGCGTAGCGACTCGCGGTTCGCAAAAATGATCACAGATGGATCACAAGATGATCACAACGGGGAAAATCTCTGGAACCGGAACGTTTTTAAAATCGCTCAGTTCACATGATAAGAGCCAACCTAGCTCTACTCATTCCCACTTACTCCTCTCCGATAGCTTCACTTTCAACGAAGTTATGGGTGTTCAAATCCCGAGGGTACTTGTTACACATTTTCACGTGTTTGGCTTGAAATTGGCTCCAAACCGTAAAATAGCGCGCACCAATGCGCTTGTATGAGCGCGCTGACCGCGAACAGCCAAAATTCAAAAGTAATCCATAGTTCCGGTTCCCAGCTGAGCGGTGAGTTTTTTCTTATCCATTTTATTGTGAATTACTTTGATTGTTTGTTTTTGTTGAATTTTGATTTTGGTTGTTTGTTACGTTTGATTTTGTTGTGAGGAAATTGCTCAGGATTTCAATTTTCTATACGGTTTCATAGGTAGCTTTGCAATGGATTCTTTTCTAGATTTTGCGGATTAGTGGATTGGGATTTATCTAGACCAGATGAGGAGGGTTGGTGGGCGAAGTGTCTTGAAGTTTTTTGTGAGGAAGGAGGAAAAGTTTCAGCAATATTTTTTTTAGTTTTTGGCCTAGGAATAGTTCGATAGTGCCTAGTTCTATTTATTGTCATCTACATCGTCCCTTTTGAGCTTCTTTTTACTTGTACCGTGTATCACCGCTCTCTCCACTTCAACATGGGCCATGCGTTTACGACCCCCCCCTCCATCGCGGGCAAATACGACCCCCCTGTTGTGATGATCACAAAGATGGCGTGCCGTGCACCTGGGTGACTGTAGACCGGGCTCACTGTTCGAAAAAAGTGTATCCACCTTTCGTAGGCCCATGAACTGAACTTTTGATGGATTCAGTGTAGGTTCAATAGGCGCATGTTGACAGCCAGCGGCGGGGACTGGGCGGCTCAAGATGTTATGATAGCGAAGCCTTTGGGCATTCTGCTACACGATTCTGACCGAGAATAAGTACCTTTGAGAGAAGGAAATTAAAAAAAAACACGTATATTATAGGTGCCGGAAAAAGCCTGTGCTATCAACTACCAGCTGTTCTGTCGCCTGGAGTAACAATCGTGGTATCGCCTCTGAAGTCACTTATCGAAGACCAGCGTTCGAAAATGCGAGATCTTGCGGGTGTGATTTCGTTTTTTGTTTGAATGCAGTAGGGGGCCTCAGTCTCTTGGGCTCTTGAAAGCGCATGGGAACTACCCCGACTCGGTGACGCGTGCGTCGCGAAGCAAGTTGCCGTTTGCTTCGTGATTATCTGCTACGTATTTGCTTGCCTTCTTATGACGTGCATGCCAGCTGTAGTTTTATTCGAAATTATTCAGTCTCGTTTATGAGGTGACCGACATTGGAGAGAGACGACAGTCTGGTCTGAGTAAGCAGTGCTTGGAGGCATTTAACAGTTCTGGTCGCTGCGAACGCTGTGAGTTCGGGAAGGCTGGGATTGTGTTCGGGGCGCCAGCCTGTTTCTGCTGAGTGTGGTCCAGGTCTGCCAGCTCCATATTGGTAGGGATCATAGCTGCCGCCGTGGGCACCCAGCGCCCGAAAACGCCACTAGCGTTTCGCAGCGAACAGTACTGCAAGAATTTGCCCTTGTTGAGTTCAGATTCAAGAGCGCTGTGCATTGGACATCGTAGCTGGCCGCCTCGCGACCGCACGCGCGCCACACTTGTACCTCTCTGATATCAGATATAAGATTGAATTTCGGACGATTGAACTGTTTCAAACGAAAGTTTTCAGATTCCTTGTGAAGCGTTGACATCGGACTTGAATGAAGACAAACAACAAGTGATCTACAATCGGTTGATGTGCTCCCCACCTGATATCAAACTGTTGTATGTTACACCTGAGAAAGTGAGACCTCGCTATTTTTCTTTTCAAAAATAAGCACCCTTTTATTTGCCCCTCAACGACTGGTTCCAGATCGGTGCGTCTGGAAGAATTGGCATCAGTCTTTGGAAGTTTACATCGTCGTAATTGTTTATCACGATTCGTCATTGACGAGGCGCATTGCGTATCCCAATGGGGCCATGATTTTCGACCAGACTATACGAAACTACAATCACTACGACGCGACTACGCTCAGCCGAAGGTGAAGATTTCGGAAGACGGGCTATTCTATCGTGAACAGGTCGCGCGCGGCAATGTTAGAGTTGCACTGACTCGTCCACACGAGTTGTCATTGGACAAGAGATCTGCTTTTGTTTACGGTGTGTTCTTCAAAGTAGCAGTGGGATGGTTCCCATCGATAATTTGAACGAGCCATAAGGCAGCGTAACTGGTACGCAAAGGTTGCGGCGTTGCAGGCCACGCCCACCTACGCGGCGACCCACGTAGAATCGCCCGCATGCCCGAAGGTTTCTACTACTTGATATATCTAAATTTTTTGCCGGTACGATCATGAACATTATGGCACACTAGATCAGCTTGAATAATTGACACAGCCAGAGTTTTTTATTGACTGTACTGGTTTAGGTGCCGATAGTCGCCCTAACAGCGACAGCGACGCCGAAAATTGTGGCCGACACAAGAGACCATTTAGGTATCGTGGACTCAAAACTGTGAGTATTAATCGTCAATCTTGAGTAGAAGTCTCCATGGTCACATTAACAATCCGCGATTCAATCGCGCGACTTGAGCAGTTCTGTGATTAGCGTTGGAGCATGTTCTTCACAGGTTTTATCTATTTTTCATCAAGGAAAAAATCACTAAAAATGAAAAATTATCGACTGAGTTGAGAAATCGACTAAATGAGCAATAGAGAGGGGTCGAAAGCAGAGAAATAGCTCAACTTTGCATCGCATGTATCCTGAAACGGGAAGCCGAACAAAGGCGGTCTTGCTTCTGCGTCAGGGCACATCATTGGTTGGGGATTTTAGTCGAGTCTGTGCGACCCCCCCCCCCCCCCCCCCTTCCGGCCCTCTGTCCCCCTCATCGAATCGAGTCGTCGAGCGGGGACGAGGGGTGGGGTGAGGGTAAATAGCACATGTGAAACAGGAAAAACCGCGAAACAATGCGACCACCCCCCCTTTTTTTTACAACGTCCGTGAAGCGAGAAAATCAACTATCAAAATAAATTTTTCCCAGCCCAAATACGACCCCCTCTCCTGGCGGCCAAATACGACCCCGGTTGGGGATTCCCCAACAACGATGTGCCCTGTTCTGCGTTCGAGTCACGTTCGTCCCGCTGCACCGCTGATTGTTAAGCCGCCGGAGTCGCGCGGCTGAATCGCCACTGTCGCGAACTATGAGCGCTCTCACCGTGAACACCATCCCTTCCTCAATCAATATCCATCAAGGGCTCGCTATCGTTACAGCCTTGTTCGCTGCCGCTGATGGGGCATGTCAAGGGAACGAGTTTGGCGCCAACTAGCCCGTTTCTTTTCTT